CCGAACCCTCAGTGGGAGTGCCACCGAGCTTCCCAAGCGGCGCACTATAGCAGTGCGCCACCAGGCCGGCCCCTGTAATCCACCACTTCTAAGCATGCCTCCATTGTCATTACCCAAGGCCAGGCCACCATTTTTCACCAGGCCTATTTCTCAACTGTTCACCTTGTACCCATTCTGGTCCCACTCCTCCAATCCAACCCTTAAGATGGCAGCCATAGAGATTTAAAAAAAAATACTCAGATCTTGTAAACCATCTCCCCTGGCCACTTGCTAACCTCTTGAGCTCTTAGGATAAAATGTTAAAACACTTAGCATGGCTAAATAAATACCTTGTATGGTTTGGCCTCTGGCTACCTCAGCTCACATAATTCTCTCCCTTGCTCTGCACAATGGCCATGCTGTCCTTTGAGTTCCTAAAACACCACACTCCCTGCTACCACAGGATTTTTACCCATGCTGTTCCCTCTATCTGCAACACTCCTTCCCTCTTACCTGGTTAACTCCTATTTACCCTAGAGCTTCATCACCACTTTTTCACCTCTCCTAGCCTGCTGCTCTTGTTTAAGATCAAACAAAGAAATGGAAGTGACTTCTGGGCGGAGCAAAGAATTAAGAGTTCAGTATGCCAATTAAATAAATAGATGCTAACTGGAAATAAGTCTGAACCCAAGAAGTGCGACAGGTAGGGCTACCACCTGTGTAACATCTTATTTAATCAATGACAGTTCTCCTGAGCAATATCTCCAATCTTTTTTAACCAGCCTGTTTCTGTGCATTGTTTGTGCACAGCCTTGCTCATTTCCATGAATGGGAGTAAGATGCCTGTCCGACTAGGGCCAAAAAAGCATCTACTGGATTCAAAACTCAGTCAACTCTGAAGTGTGTCTGAAGTGAGTACTGCATATGTAAAGTGGCCTGTGATTTATGAGCCCTGAGCATAGCTTGATCTAGCCCCTCTTGATCTCGCAATGCCAAAAAGCTCAAGGTCTGCTTCACCTCCTCAGCATCTGTGACTTGGTATATTATGTTTACCCATTTGTTTTATATATATTTAGGAACCTATTGTTTGTGTTGCTCTCAATTACCCTGGTGCCTTGGATTGAGTGTCTCCCCAAATTTTGACCCCCACTGTGACAATGTTAAAGAGAGTGGGAAATCCTATTATGGTAATTGAATTATGGGCCTTGAAAATGTGATTAGATTATATAGGACCATGCCAAAGTGAATGGATTAATAATAGTGGTCAGGATTGTGTTTCTGGGGGCTTTAAAAGGAGAGTGCGTGAGGAACTCTCTCTGCTCTGCCATTTTCTGCCATGTGAGACCCCTGGGTCACTGGCACCACCACCAAGACCCTCGCCAGGTGTGTCCCTGGACTTTGGACTTCCCAGTCTCTGAAACTGTAAACAATAAATTTTGTTTTCTCATAAATCACCCAGTTCCAGGTATTTATGTTATAAGCAACAAACTAATACATCTGGATATTCATTCTTGATTTCTAATTATTTGTCTATCCACGTTATTATCATCTGCTAGAGAAATTGTCAGAAGAGTGGATTGTGTGTCTTCTCAGTTAGAAGTTCACAGAAAAAAGCCCAAAGGAAGTTAGGCAGTAGCAGACTTAAAAAACAGAAAAACAAAACCAAAAACAAATTGCCCTTAAATGAAATGTGACTTTCTCCACTCTAGGTTTTCTTTTTGGTTCCATGGGTTTATGCAGTTGATGGGGCACTAGGCCATGTCTCTATGGCAGTCTATAGTAGAAGGGACAATTGAATCATGTCTGCTATTTTTGTCTTGGCTCTGTAGTGAGAGAACAGTTTCAATTTCAGTTTCAAACCAACCTAGCAATCTAGGCAGAAAGCCATTAAAACGAAGTGAAGGATAACATGCAATGGAAAACAGACCACAAAAGTTATCTATTCACCCATCTTCTGCCAGAATGGACAGAATGTTTCTCCTGTTAGAAACGTAAGATGTGTATTTGCAATTAAAAAAAGAGTGAAAGACTTGAACACATGCAGTACAAAAGAGGCAATCAAAATGGCCAGTAAACATGAAAAGGTGCTCAACTTACTTAGATATGGGAGAAACCGAAACTAAAACTACATTAGATTACCTACATTAGAATACAGACATTAGGATACCTAAGATTAGCATGCCTACCAGCTTTGGGAAGGGTGCGAACATCAGGAATTCGTATTACACTGCTGGTGAGAGCATAAACCGGTATAATCACTTTGGAAAACTATCTAGTAAAGTGGAAGACAGACATGCCCACTGAGCCAGCAATCTCATTGCTTTGTATATACCCTATGCCTGCTTGTGTATAAAAATTATTACTGCAGAATTATTCATAATAACATAAAATGGAAAACCCAGCATCATAAGTAGTAAGATGGATAAATAATGGTGATACAGTCAATGACCAGTAGACTGCAGAGAAAATGAATACTTTGTTGTTACTCGCAACAAAATGATTCTGAAAACCAAGTCTACAAAGCAGCAGCCAAAGCAACACAACACATATCGAATTCTTCCACTTTTTTCAAGACCATACTGTTTAGGGAAGCATACTTAATTGACAAAATCAGAGAAAAGCAGGACAGAATTACCATAAAAGTCAGGACCTTTGAGGGGCAGTTATTAAGTGGGAAGGGTGGAGAGCCGACAACGTGTCAAACAAGGTTGGTGGTGATCCTGGGGTTCGCTTTGTAATTCCTTAAAATGAGCACTGACGTGTTATTCACTTTTCTGTGGGTAAAACTGCGTAATAAAGTTTAGCTATATGCGGAAAAAAAAAAAAAGATCTTTTGATAGATAAAAGGGCGGCTCGTTGGCCAGCTGGCGCACGTTGGCGGGGTGGAGCTGACCCCCTGACCGCAAACCCAAAGACGGTCCGAGCCGGGTGAGGACCACCCGCCCAGCTGAGCGGGACCCGAGTCAGATGCCGGCCACCGCGCCTGCGCGCTGGGAGGGGCCAGGCTCTCCTACCTGCACGTGGCCCGAGTCGGGCGCTGCGCCTCCGGTCCTGGCGTGCACGTTGGGGAGCCGGTACATGCAGGTGGGAAGCTCTACACGGAGAGGCGCGGCGCCCCCGTGATAGGGCTTTACCTGGTACATCGGCATCGCTGGAACCCAAGGAAGGAAGGCAGCGGGCGACGGACACGAACGCTCAGAAACCGTCCTAGGCCACGACGGACTACGCACACTGCCTTCCTGACCCTGTTGAGGGCGTTCGGGAAAACGCAGCCCGTGCTCTCTAATTGGCCCGGACTCTCTGACGTCACGAACTCAACCTTTGACACAACCAATCAGCGAGAAGGAGATGTGGGAAGCGTTTGCCGCCCCGCCGGGAAAGGGCGGGACACAGTGTCAAAAGCAGCCAATGGGCAGCCGGAAGGCGGGGCCCTTGTGGGAGCCCGGGCGGGAATTCTCCCGCAGACGAGGAGGCGGGTCGGGTTCGCGTCCATGGAGCTAGAGGCCGGCCCGAGGTGAGCGGGGCTTGCGGTCTCTCCTCGCAGTCGTCTTCTCTAAGGCCCGCGGTGTTCCAGCTCCCTAGAAAGGAGGGGAAAATGACCGAGGCGCGTGGCGGGCCCGCGGCGTGGAGACCGCGGAGCGGCACCCTCAGCTCCTCCCTGAGCCGGTCCCCTTTGGGTGTGCTTTGGGGTCAGGGTCGAGCCCCTCTCCGTGTACTCGGGCTGCGGGCGGGGGGATTCGGCCCGCTGCCAGGCAGGCCCTGCCCGGCCCGTCAAAGGGCCGTGGTCTTGAAGCCGGACCATGCAGTAGCCGTAGACTGAATTCATTTCCTTTTTTACCTGGTCTCTCTCTCTCTCTCTCTCTCTCTCTCTCTCTCTCTCTCCCTCTCTCTTTTTCTCTCT